TCAAAAAAAAAAAAAAAATCTATTAACCATCCAACACACACTCACACACAGATTCACATACCTTCTCACTCATTCTCTCATCCACATTAACACACACACCCACACATGTACTCACCCACTCCACACATTCATTCACACACTCACAAACTCATAGACATTCACATGGTCATACACACACATTCACTCGTGAATACACTCAAAAACACACACACACATTCACCGACCTACTCACACACATTCAAACACTATCTCACTCACACATTCATGAACTAATATACATTCACTAACACACATATGCACTTATCCACACTAGCACACATAAACATACACCAGAACACCAACACACACATACAATTGGTCACACTGGAAAACTAATACATACTCACATCCAAAACTAGACATATTCACTAACACACACATTCACACACCATTTCACACACTCACTCACATTCACGTATTAACAATCATTAACACGCATGCTCACACATATTCACACACCATCTCACACACTCATTCATTGACACACACATACTCACAAACTGGATGCCCTGAGCCCCCACAGTGCAACAGGAGATCCTGGGGCCCTCGTCCTGCCTGCTTTGCCTCAACCTCCCTTTGATGTGTTACCCACTTATTGCTGAGAAGATCCCTGAGGGCTCTGGTGACACAAATAGCCACAGCTCAAGGCCACAAACACCCTGTCAACTAGCACCATCCAGCCTGCCCAGTTGGGTTCCTTCCACTGGGTCTGAAACCCACTAATCCTCACTCATGACGAGCGCTTGTAGTTAGGGCACCTCAAAGACTCTTGCAGACCCCGCCCCACACATACACCAGTGTTGACAAGGGCATTGTTGTCCCCTCAACCCCACACCCATGCCACCCCCAGCTGACGTCTGCCCGCTCAAGCCTCAGACTCTACAATGGCCTTAGACCCAACCAGGCACCGCCCATGCCCACCAGCACCCAGTCGCCCACCTCCAAACAGTCTGGGGGACACCACCAGCATTCACGGACCCTGCCCTGCACACACCCCAGTGATAAGCCGACCACCGTTGCCCTCGCCCCCGGCCCACTCCACCCCCGGCCCACCCGCAGCTCAGCTGCACCCAGTTGGCGAGACTCAGCTGGAACACTTAATGAAATTTATTGAACAGAAACGTTTACTGCAACCACTGGAGAAGGGAATGACAACACAGACAGCAACTGCTGACGGCCACTAGAGGCCATAGGTCCCGGAACCCTCCTCCTGGGCTCCCTGGCCAGGTGCCTCCTCTGCCCGGCCCCCGCTGTGGCCCTCCTGTCACGAGCTTCCCTCCTGAGGGCCCCCGGATCTGCCCCTGGCCAGGACGCTGGACTCTGGCAACCTCCAC